TTTAACACCTTCCGGACTGAATTGCCAACACAGTTTCATTTAAATTCCTAGGGGATTGAACTGCCCTCGCAGTTTTATCTCAACCCCCCCCCCCCCCCCCAGGTATGGTCCCTGGTACTCCACATGGGGTATTTATTCCCCTAGCCCACGCGTGTAGGCAGTCTGTTGAGAAACCATCAACCCGACTGCTTCGAGATACCAGCTAAGAGATTTTGTGTATTTGTGTTGTATTGTTTGATGTGTATGTGCTAATGAAGGCTTCATAGCCGCAACGTTCACGTTTTGTTTGTATTTGTAATGTTTTAAAGCTTGCTAATATACTTTTCGTTCGGTCTGATATCTTTCCCAGGAAAAAGGTCTTTTACGTTTACTATATGTTGAATGTTGAATGAGGAATCGACATTACAGCACACAGGATACTCCCATAAGCGATCCCTCCCCTTTCTTCAGCAGCAAGCGAAGAGTTCCAATTCCGATGGCACCAGTAACTGTCTGATTGTATATCCGTCTCGCCTTTTCCGCAAGCGAAGAGTTCCAATTCCGATGGCACCAGTAACTGTCTGATTGTATATCCGTCTCGCCTTTCCCTGAGTGTTGAGCGCCAGCCAGATCCCCCTGTAACTCATCGCAGCGCCATTCTCCCCTGTGCCGTAATGATCTATCTGTCACTCCGCACCGTTTAATCGCTCTTAAGAAGTCCTCTCAATATCCAGCTTGCAGAAGCGGCCAGTCTATCTGACCACTCATTTCCCTACACGTCATCATTACCTGGAAAAAAATATCTCAAGGATCCTAACTACCCGGGACCTCTGAAGTGATGCTTGCCACTCTGCACGGAGCATGCCTGTCTTCGAATTTTTTTTTATAACATGCTCTGCGAGTCAGTTACAATCGCGGCATGTTTATTCAACTGATTCTCAAGCCAGCGAGAGGGAGCAATGATTGCCTCCACTTCCATTCACAAACTAGACGTTGTAATATCAAATGCCAGGCTTTGAGGCACCGAGCGACGTCCTTTTGCTATGAACACCCCTGAACTTCGTCTGCCCCTCAACACAGAGCCATCTGTATAGATAATCACATCACCTGGGCGAGAATTGTCATGAATTATGTGTCGAACTTCTGATTCTGCAGCACTAGCTGGCCAGTCCCTGCACTCACGACTCAAAGTTATGAGAACGCTACACAAGTCTGAAACTTGATCGGACAAATTTAAACCCACTCCTCTCCTCGCTTAAATTTATCGAGCCTGCACATATGTCCAATTGTATATTTAGCTTGTGCCATCCAAGACCTTCCTTCTTTCAGTCTGTGATCCTTAGCTTTACACAGGGCTTCATGCAGGAGGTGCTTCTTGTCTGCAGCTACTCTGAGATATGACTGTGTTTGTAGAACTTCGATCCTATCATCAATAGTAGGCAAGTGCAAGTATGTATCTCATGCATACTACTGGAGTACATCTTGTACATCCCAGAATTACCTGCACTGTTCATTCTGTATGCGTTCAAGTTTCATGAGCTGACTCTTTGATATGGCAAGCATTCTAAGTCCATAATCTATCACCGACAGGATCACATGCTGGAACATTGTGAACATCATTCTTTGTTCCATGTCCATTGCTGTTATGATTTTTAGAGCAGTGAGCCCTTTTTGACATTTCACCGCAACTGCCTCTACATGATCCCGGAAGGACAGGCTTCTTTTGAAAATGATACACAGGTACCTCAGTTTACTTTCTCTTTTGATGTTATTGTCATTAATTGGGAGGCTTGGAACATTAGCTCTTACAATTCTATTGTCCAGAGAGCATTACAACACGGCCGCCTTTGCTGATTGATAACAGCACCCATTTATGTACACCAGTCACTTTGTCTACAGTTGCCTGTAGCTCTTGGACTATCCGTTGCCTATCACTCCCCGGCCTTTATGCAAGAACATCATCGGCAAATGTTACTATCCTTCTAACACTTGGTGCTTCAAGTTTTTCAATCGTGCTTGTATACACATTGAAGAGCAATAGTGAAATTGCAGAACCCTAGGTTAGTCCAGGGGCGATTTTACATGGTTCTCAGGTCCATGTACCGAGGCGAAAGGCAACCATGCGTGAATGCAGGACAGCTGCTATGCATTTTACAAGCCGGAGGGGGGAAAAGGGGGGGGGGGCGCAGACCTTCTTCATGAGTGCGGATATCGAATATCAAATGATATACGTTTACTATTTAAAATAAAATATCCAGTATAATCTCCCGTGTGATTTCTTCTGTTTCCTCTGTTTTTCTCTTTTTCAATGTGTTCAGTTTTGTAATGTTCGGCATTCATAGAATAGATTACACACAAAATTTATGTGATTGGTACACAGTTTAGCTTTGAAAAGTTAATACTAAAGACACCAACCCATGTACGTTTTTAAGATAAAAAGAAGTTTAAAAGTCACTTTTCTAACAATTCTATTTTTCTGTTTGTTGTGTTTGGGATCTCCTAAAATCTCAGCTAATATTAAGACTAGAGACGTGAAATTTGTTGTGGATACTCCTAACATAATATTATAGGGTCAGGTTTATTTAAAATTACAGTTTATTAAGTAATTAAAAAAAATTGATTATTATCTGAAAAAGCTACATTTTTGTATTTTTTTCAACATACCAAAATTTTAATATTCTAAAAAAAATATTTTAAAACATCTTTGAAGTAAATAAACTAGACCTCACCCTAAACATTAGTTTAAAGTTCATGAATCGATCATCTGTTTCTCAATACCTCTGTTTGCTTTGAAATTTTAGCTAAGTACAGGTTGTTTTTTCATCAAGATGGCGGCTGTTGCCATGGCAACCATATTTTTTTAAACTTGAAGTCTACAAATGTATCAACATACATGCCTACAAATGACCATTATAAAATAATTGGTCTAACACTGTAAGTAAAAAAAAAATTCTGCTTGAAACTAAGTAGGCTCTGTCTCACCAAAATGTGTCTAGTGTCGGCTTTTTTAATCTTTCTGGACTGGGACAGTTACCGTCATTAAAACAATACCACAGTAATGATGCAGTTTATTGTACTTTGTTAGTGAAGTATCGTGCTAATCATCATCATCCGGTTATGCCGTTATACGTCATATAGGGCTGACAGTCTAGTCCTTCGCCACGCTCTAATTCGATATTGAGGTCGGAATCCAGTCAAGCGCCCTTGGCCTCTATCACCAGCATGTACTAATCTGTGTGTACCTCAGCACATGTCCATACATTTAGTTTATCAGATAACTGGGAACAACCCTACTTCCTTTGTCTGTTTCTGAAGATATTTTATCTACCAAAAAGTTCCCCTCTTCATTTTTGTTAAAGCCATACCGAATAAAGAAAGCCGCAGCAGCGCACTATAGACCCGGTAGTCTTGTGGTCGAATGCTCAACGAGAGTAATGAAAAAACATGGCTCTCATGAAGATCCTGCCAAAAATGAGTACTATGATTTATTCTAGGAAGTAAAGGTGATCGACATGATTTTGATACCATCTCTCATCATTGCTCTATGACAGGGCTATTCCACTCGCGGGCCAATATGTTGAAAATGGTGATCGTCGCGGGTCAGTGACCCGAGCCAAGTGTGGGAAGATTACTAACACTACAATTGCGAAAACTGTCAATGTGTAAATGTAATACACTCTAAGACTGTTACGCCTAGGCGCTCTAGGGCCTAGCCTATTTTAAACATAAATGAAACAGTGTTGTAAACCAATTATAATGTAAAATGTAGATATCTCGAAAAACTTTCATTTTTTCAACCAGATCAATGATTGTCTTGTTGCGGTTGCAAGTTCAGTGTGTTTAAATGGACTACTGTCACATAATAACAAAGTGATGAGGTTTTTTTTTTCTGTGGCATTCGTGTTGTGGGTATAAAGTTTGGTATTGCTTAAGACCCATTTTTGAATCTTCAGATATTGAGGAATGACTGTTAGTTAAATGACGGGACAGCTTAACACCTTGGTGACACACACACACACACACACACACACACACACACACACACACAATAGAAACTCGGCGTTAATTATCTACATAGTTAGTTAGTTAATTAGTTGTAGGTTAATTGACAGATTATTCACATTGCATATCGGACAAGTGCATAAGCGCTTGGATCCCATTATCAGTACCTCACCCAGCTTGGGGCCAATGATAACACCAGGTATATCTTGATTTACTATTCTTTTTGGCTACCTGTATAGTGTTCATGTTTAGTGACACCTCATGTATTGTTTCATGGACAGAAAACAAAAGTTATATTAAAAAAAAAAAAAAACTGATACCACGAACATGAAGATGACTGTTTAAATTTCCACATTGGAAAACAAATTAGATTTGTCCTAATCTTGTTTCAACACACATCCTTATCTATCCATGGCCTAATGTCACTGGTTTCAGCTACATATGTATCAAACAACTTCAAACAAATATTATTCCGATGACCATTTTCACCAATGTCTAACACAAGCAGACGCTGAAAAATTGCACCTGAAAAGTTTCTACAACGCGACAATCACTGCAAAACAACGGAACACACATCTTCACACTAAAGAACATAATGTCAAATACCCGCAGTAAGGCAGCCAATCTTATAACCGCATTACAACAGAACAAAACATCCTTGTGCTAGCTAACATAGCGTCGTCTGTAATAAAAAGTGGGTCAGCCTCTTTCTGTCCCATCTCTAAACTCAAACTCTGAAAAAAATTCACCCCATAATTGCTCTGTTCCTGTCCCAACGAAAATCACACAGAATGCCTATTAGTTTCACTTATGGACTGTTTGACACAGATTGCAGTTTGACACTCGGTAGTTGCACAAGCAATTAATCACATATGGCACCACCAGTTCTGTGGCAAGAGGCTACTCGCCATATTCTGAATCTGCTGTTCACAACACAAATTACGTAAGGCACAGCTGAAAAGTATTCCTAATGAAATCCGCAACTCACAGTGTCAAGCCATGCACTCAGCTCTCCGGAGTCACAAATTATACCTCATCATGTTTGGACTATTGATCGCGCATGCGCAAGATTTCTGGAAATGGTTTGTGGTGCCAGGAGTTGTGTTTTTATTGGAAGCTATTTCTAGAATTTCCTGGATTAGATCAGCCTACATGGGAAGGACGTACATTGAGAGTGTCTGTCTGCTACCCTCAGAGGTATGAGTCTATCCAGATGTTTGCCTGTCTGATAGCTATCTGTCTATCTCTCATCTACCCCTCCATCCATCAATCCATCCATCCGTCCGTCCATCAAACAGTTAATCAATTATGTCTATCTATCTATCTATCTATCTATCTATCTATCTATCTATCTATCTATCTATCTATCTATCTATCTATCTATCTATCTATCTATCTATCTATCTATCTATCTATCTATCTATCTATCTATCTATCTATCTATCTATCTATCTATCTATCTATCTATCTATCTATCTATCTATCTATCTATCTATCTATCTATCTATCTATCTATCTATCTATCTATCTATCTATCTATCTATCTATCTATCTATCTATCTATCTCTATCTATCTATCTATCTATCTATCTATCTATCTATCTATCTATCTATCTATCTATCTATCTATCTATCTATCTATCTATCTATCTATCTATCTATCTATCTATCTATCTATCTATCTATCTATCTATCTATCTATCTATCTATCTATCTATCTATCTATATCTATCTATCTATCTATCTATCTATCTATCTGCCTGCCTGCCTGCCTGCCTGCCTGCCTGCCTGCCTGCCTGCCTGCCTGCCTGCCTGCCTGCCTGCCTGCCTGCCTGCCTGCCTGCCTGCCTGCCTGCCTACCTACCTACCTACCTACCTACCTACCTACCTGTCTGTCTGTCTGTCTGTCTGTCTGTCTGTCTATCTATCTATCTATCTATCTATCTATCTATCTATCTATCTATCTATCTATCTATCTATCTATCTATCTATCTATCTATCTATCTATCTATCTATCTATCTATCTATCTATCTATCTATCTATCTATCTATCTATCTATCTATCTATCTATCTATCTATCTATCTATCTATCTATCTATCTATCTATCTATCTATCTATCTGTCTGTCTGTCTGTCTGTCTGTCTGTCTGTCTGTCTGTCTGTCTGTCTGTCTGTCTGTCTGTCTGTCTGTCTGTCTGTCTGTCTGTCTGTCTGTCTGTCTGTCTGTCTGTCTGTCTGTCTGTCTGTCTGTCTGTCTGTCTGTCTGTCTGTCTGTCTGTCTGTCTGTCTGTCTGTCTGTCTGTCTGTCTGTCTGTCTGTCTGTCTGTCTGTCTGTCTGTCTGTCTGTCTGTCTGTCTGTCTGTCCGTCTGTCCGTCTATCCGTCCGTCCGTCCGTCCGTCCGTCCGTCCGTCCGTCTGTCTGTCCGTCTGTCTGTCTGTCTGTCTGTCTGTCTGTCTGTCTGTCTGTCTGTCTGTCCGTCCGTCCGTCCGTCCGTCCGTCCGTCCGTCCGTCCGTCCGTCCGTCCGTCCGTCCGTCCGTCCGTCCGTCCGTCCGTCCGTCCGTCTGTCTGTCTGTCTGTCTGTCTGTCTGTCTGTCTGTCTGTCTGTCTGTCTGTCTGTCTGTCTGTCTGTCTGTCTGTCTGTCTGTCTGTCTGTCTGTCTGTCCGTCCGTCCATCCGTTCGTTCGTCTGTCTGTCTGTTCATCCATCTATCTATATATTAATCCATCCATCCTTCTGCCTGCCTCCCTGCCTGCCAGTCTGTTTCTCTGTCTGTCTGTCTGTCTCTCTCTCTCTCTCTCTCTCTCTCTCTCTCTCTCTCTCTCTGTTTTTCTGTCTGTCTGTCTTATTTGATAGTTATGTAACATTAGACATATATGACAATGAAGATGATGTTAATCAGGTGCCGTAATGACTGGTCTGAGCGACCATGCCTCTTTATAATCTGCGATCTCCAATAACAAGTATCACTTCAAGGGCTGATTACCGCCTCTGCTCACCCACCCCCTTCCGAAATCGCTCTTTTGCACACCAAACAATGACAAAAGCAAAAAGCTGTCTAGATTCTTCTGCCTCTGTCTTTTTCTATCTTTCTTTCCACATGAAATAATATGTGAAATTAGAAAAGAAAGTTCTTATCTTCTTCTTCTTCTGGGCTGCACTCAACGTCATTCCTGCCAGGCCAGTAATAGCACGTCATTCCTGCCAGGCCAGTAATAGCACGTCATTCCTGCCAGGCCAGTAATAGCAGGTCATTCCTGCCAGGCCAGTAATAGGAGGTCATTCCTGCCAGGCCAGTAATAGCACGTCATTCCTGCCAGGCCAGTAATAGCACGTCATTCCTGCCAGGCCAGTAATAGCACGTCATTCCTGCCAGGCCAGTAATAGCAGGTCATTCCTGCCAGGCCAGTAATAGCAGGTCATTCCTGCCAGGCCAGTAATAGCACGTCATTCCTGCCAGGCCAGTAATAGCACGTCATTCCTGCCAGGTCAGTAATAGCACGTCATTCCTGCCAGGCCAGTAATAGCACGTCATTCCTGCCAGGCCAGTAATAGCACGTCCTTCCTGCCAGGCCAGTAATAGCACGTCATTCCTGCCAGGCCAGTAATAGCACGTCATTCTGCCAGTCTAGTACTCACACGCATGCTTGTATTATTAAAATCACTGGACAACAACAAAGAATATGTTATTCCCAAGAAGTTTAGTTGCCATCAAATGAAACCCATCCCAAGCTTTTTTTTTTTTCTTTCTTTTTTTTCCCCTTCTGATTGTAAAATATCTCGACTCTAAACAAATCGTGAATCTACAGACCCACACACATTTCTGCTTTAATACTTTATTCACCGAGTTCCCTGTGTGGATTCCGGGGGTAGGGGGGGGGGGGGAAGAGACCCACTGCCCCACGTCACCTACAAGCATGTCGTTCAAGGCGACTAATATGGAATGTTTATTTCGAAGTCAGAGTGCATTTGCCTGAGAAATCTCAAGTTAGTTCTGGAACAGGACCAAAGTCCAGAAGTGAACGAACAGTAAGAACTTTACGCTAGAGTTTACGGTCGGTGAACGATAAAAATAAGAAGATTCCCTGAGTCGAGGAAATTTTTCAGTCAAGTACTCGAAAGCAAATCCAGCCTGGTCAGTGTCTTTTATAAGCAATGCTAACATGTAGCAAGGATTTGAATGTGCAAGGATTTGAATGTACAGGTCCCACTTAACAAATGGGAAATGCATGAACACATAGCCTGTGCCAATCAAGTCAACCATACCTACACGTTGTGCTACCTGCGAAAGCAAGTCTCCATGGCTAACAAAATGAACCCCTGATGCCTGAATGGGTAAAATACCAGGCTTTGGCTGGGGTAAACAGACAGAAACCTTCGGTGGAGTGTGACCACCCGTAAGGTGCGGCCTATGCTGGGCCCACCGGCGCGTGGACATGTACCGATCCCCACCAAGGTCACACCCAGGGACTTTACGACTCACAGTTCACGACTCATATTCACAAGGCTCTACATGCCAGTGACCTAGCCTTATGGACCCAAGCTGAACATATAAAAACAACTACAATAAGAATGCAGGAAGCTATAAATACAATTAAGAAATCGACGGACTTGGGGAGTCATGATAAACCAGGTCAAAACCGTCTCAACTCTTTTCTCTCTTGTCACAAAGCTAGAACATGTTGACCTGTACATAGAAGGCAACATCCTTTCCAAAAGGGATAACCCCACATATTTGGGAGTAAAATTCGACAAAAGTCTAACCTGGGGCCCTCACATTGAAGATACCCAAAGGAAAGCTACCTTGAGGTTCAGACTTATGAATAAACTTACTGGAACAAGCTGGGGTGCTGATGCCAACACTGTACGACAAGTATACACAGGATACATACGACCAAAACTGGACTGCATGATCGCATACTCCACTGAAGCCAAATCGAACCTACACGAACTGGACAAAATACAGATCACTGGTCTCAGAATAATCACTGTAGGTATGAAAGGCACACCAATCAATGAGCTGGAGGCAACTCCAGAGCTTGAGCCTTCGAAGAGAAGAAAAGGTGCTTACCCCTTACAGAAAAATTTAAAAGCATAAACAAGAACCCCATGCATAGAATAGCAAATAACTTAACTAAAACCGACTGAAAAGGCAAAGCTTTCACAGTCTATCAAAATTGTACTGCACAAACTGCAGTGACATCATTTCTAAAGATCCCTTCAACGTGGGAAATTATCCAGACATACAGCATAGATCTACAGGCTAACTTTACAGTCACAACAATTCCAGGCATAGACAGAAAGGCTGAAGAATGTGACCTAGTACTGGTAATTTTAATTTCAGCTTCATAGCAAACGGGTCACCCCCATCTTTGCTCCGCTCCTGTGCCGAAGAAAAACACACAGAATGTTTATCACAGTCCCTTGTAGAAAGACAAACTGCTGTATCAGCAAATCTAGCATACACTCGCATTAAAAGCCATCCGAAGTGCTAACACAAACAGTCTGACGTTAGAAATGCAGTTCATCATTGATGGTAGCAGAAGTCACGAAAAGATCGGCAGTTGCACACGCGATCAATTTTAATCAAATAATGGCCCCACCAATATTGCGACAACCGGCATCGCGCCATTTTCTGAATCTACAAATCACACCACCACGTTGGTCAGTCGAAAAACATTCCTAATGAAATCCGCAGCTCACAGTGTCACGCCATGCATTCAACTCAGAAGCTGGGTAACGAAACTATATACTTCCAGTCTACAAAGTGAGCAAAAAACGCAACAGCCACAGTCTGGCAGAAGCAAAAACAGTGGCAGTGCCTAGTGTTCATTTGGACCTGAAGCATTATGTGAGTGTTTATAAACTGTCACCCCTGCAGTACCCTACTATTAGCTGGGGAAGGGATTTAGTACATTACATCCACCAGCAAGCGTCGCCCCAACAACGACCAGACTGCCTTCGTTAAAGACTGTTCACCCAACAGCCATGCCGTTCTTTGGCACGAAGGAGACACCTT